GGGCCAGAACGCAGGGCTCCAGGACTGGGCAGGCCTGGCTCGCCCAGAGGAAGGCGCCTGGCTCCTGGTGGCATCTTTCGTCCCAGGAGCGACCGGGTCGATGCCCTCGGTGCTGAGGCGCCATGCGCTCCCCGCGGATTTCGGTCCGCTACAGGCTTCTCCTCCGGATTATTCCCGGCAGCAGCTGCCACCTTGGGACGCGCGCATCCTCGCGGCCGCCCGCAAAACCGTTCTTGCAACTAGCGGGGACCTGAGTACCCTCGGTGAGGAGAAGTGACCTTCCCTGGCCTGCCCCTGGCTCGTCCTCTTTTCTTCCCAGCGCCACGCGTGGCCAAAATGCTGGGGAAACTCTACTGATGCCCAGAGGAGGTGTGGAATGCCTGATGACAGAATGATGAGCAGCGGCCCGAAGCAGGCCAGACTTCGGGACCTCGAAGGGCAGGGGTCAGCAGAGCGGTCTGTGTCCGCTCCAACGGCGACGAATTGGGTCCCTCTTTTGGATTAAGAGCCCTTTGTAGCGGGCTTTGTTTGGTTCGCTGCCTCTCCTATCTTTCATCCTCTACTTCTCCCCCACAGACGCTCACGGTGCTTTCGTTTTACTTCTGTCTCCTTCTCCCTGTGGAGCCCCCACACGGTAAAGGGACCTCACGTCTAGAAGATGCTCGCAGTGCCCCTCTCTCTCCACCCCAGCCTCACAGTCGAGTGGACCAGTGGGCTCAAGCCGAGCCGAGCGCCAGAGCGCCCCAGCCGCCTACGCGCCTTTGCGCTCCTGGGCACCTCGGCCGGATGGGAGCGCTTACTGGGGCTGTGCACTAGGGTAACGGCAGCGAAAAGGCACCAGGCAGCTATGCTCGATTTTCCGAGCCCTACTTTCTTTTCGGAGCCCGCTGGGATTTGTAGTTCCTGCTTTCGCTGTCCAGCTCTGAGAGGGAACGTGACTTGGGGACCTAAAACTACAAGTCCCTGCATCCCCTGCGAAGAAGGCGGGGGAGGCAAGGTACTAGACGTTCTGGTGCCCAGCGTTTGGAGAGCAACAAAGACAGCTTTTGGGACAGGTGCTTTCTCATTGAAGGGTGGGCACCTACGCACTGCCCACCTTCGCTGGGTAATCCTCACCACAACCCTGCGATGCACACTATTGCACCCAGCTCAAAGAAACTGCTTGCCCAACATCACAAAGCTGCCCAGTGATAGAGATGGCACTGGACCCAGAGCTCAGTCTTTCCCTCACAAAGCACGCCTCAGTGCACAGTGTCAAAGGGAGATAAGCTTGGCTGCCCAAAGGAGGAAAAGAATGTGTCCAGCTGGGAAGCAGTGGGAATAGGAATGGTAATAAGATAGGAGATGAAATCACAGGAAGCTAAAAAACAAAAGTGGTTTTTAGGAGCCAAATAGGGGTGGGAAGCTAAAAAGCAAATGTGATTTTTAGGAGCCGAATAGGGCTTTTGCTTTGTTTAGTGAGTGGATGGGTGCGTTTTTTGAAACAAGTTCTCACTATTGTTGCATAGGCTAGTCTCCAGTTCCCGATTCTCTGCTTCAGCTTTTTGCATGCTGGGACTACACACATGTTCCACCAAGTCCAGCTAAGGATCTTCAGTGGACAACTGGAATTAGCCTTGAATTATTTGAGATATATTTATGACAGGCAAGCATATGCGGAAACGATTATCTGCTTGTTAACTGGGCTATTTTAAAACAAACAAACAAAAAAACCTCTAGCATTTAAAGAAGCTTTTGTTCTGTCCTACCCTTTAGCTGATTGTTACCTCAGAAATCACCTTCTCCAGGGGCCTGGAGTGTAGCTCTTGCCCACTCTTATTGTCTACTAAACTGGATTTTTTTTTTTTTTTTGGCCTTGGGCACAGTTGAAAAGTCCTTGCCCTTTAGAGATGCCCACTGAAAGTATTTGCAAGTGAAATGATAGAAAGACTAGATTGTACTTTTAGACACTCCAGCCCGTCTACCTCCCACACACAAGGAGCTAAAAGGAACAACTCCAGGAACTCTTGGAAAGTGTTGACAATGTCAATGCAACTGTATCTAATTATCCATTGCTGGGAATTATCACAAACTTGGGGCCTTAAACACAAGTGTACCTCACAGCCTCTGTGGTTCAGGTATCCAAGTCTATCGAGTCTTCCGCCCACACCATCAAGGTAGAGACTAGGCTGTGTTCTCATGACCTGAAGAAGAATTCACTTCTAAGCTCATTCAGGTCGCTAGCAGAATTCATTTCTGTGCATGTGTAGGAAAGCCTCCAGCTTCTTGCTGGTTGGCCACTGGAAACTGTCCACAGTTCCCAGAGGGCATCTGCAGCTCCTAGAGATCACCTGTAGTTCATTATCAACTTGGCATTTCCCAGAATTCATTAAGTCAACAAGGAAAATCTGGCAGTAAGCAGGCTCTGTACAATAGGGCCAAATGTACATGTTCTATTAGCCAGAAGGCAAATCACAAGTTGCAAGGTGAAGGGAGCATTTGGGGGTACAGACACTAGGATAAGTATGTCCACCAAAGTGTGTACGAAGACTTATCCATCAAGTGTGCTTATTTTTTATTTGGCATTTCTATACAAAAGGAAAGGAATTATTGTTTTAAAATTATATCTAGGTGGGTGGAAAGATGCCTCAGGGGTTAAGAACGTGTGCTGCCCTTTTTTGTTAACTGTACAGTTTTATCACCCACCTCAAGTAAAACCAAGCTGTCACCATCTTTGGCACTCAGAGCCAACAGCTACCCTCCTTGCGTTGGTGGTATCTTTGATGCCAGTGGTCTTTCCCTGTTCATGGCTGACTTGGTGGACTCACTAGCAGCAAGGGTTGTTTTATAAACAACATTGAAGGTTTCTCTCATCTGAAAGCATCCCACAACCCTCGTATTTCTCAGACACCTTGAGGCAACCACCGTGGAAGATGGCCCTACTCACTGCACAAGGAAGGATGTCCTGTGTACATCTCTCTGGGCTGGCATGGATGTGCACTCAGGGTGGTTAAGACACCTAAGGCAAAGGGACCAAGTCCTAGGAGAACACTAGAGAACTTGGAAGTGAACACAAGACATTTCATTCCAAATAGAATTCTGCAGAAAATCAGATACCCTAATTCTTCGCAACCCAGAGACTCATCTCATATGTGTGTGCATACTCAGTGGATCTAGAAATATTTAGTATCAAAATGCAAAAGGTTTAAAGTTAGTACACTCAGTATGTCACAAAAACAAAATGAGGTAAGGCAGGATATTTTTAATGTGAAAACTTCTTATAATTTTTTTCAGGGGCAGGAGAGATGGCTTGGAGGTTAAGAGCAATGGCTGCTCTTCCAGAGGTTGTGAGTTCAACTCCCAGCAACCACATGGCGGCTCACAACCATCTAGGATAGGATCTGATGCCCTCTTCTGGTGTTCAGGTATACATGCAGAAGATTCATATATAAAATATAAATAAATAAATAAATTTTGAAAGTTAGATAATTTTTTCAAGCGAAGTTTTTGTCCTTCTACACAAAAATGTTGCTTCAATATATTTATGAAATAATACCATGCTTTGAAAGCTGGTACAACACATAAATGGAAATAATGTAAGATTACTCAAATTCCTACCACCATGAAGTGAGAGCCATGGAGATCATTCCACATAATTCATTTTACATATAGACACCATTGTATGCGGGTCATTTAACAAAAGAATTGAATCATTGCAAGCCTGCTGTTTTTATCTTATATGTTTTCTTTTGGGGGTGGGGGTGTGCACGCATTCGTGTGCGTGTATGTGTCTAAACATGTATATGGAAGCCAAAGAATGAACGAGAGAAAAATAAAGAGGAGAGAGGGAGAGAGAGACAGAGACAGAGACAGAGAGAGCAGTTTGTATTACACTTTCATCAGTTACCTAGATAATATCCTCTCTTGTTTATTTCCCAGCTCAAGAGCAGCCCAGAGTCACACTTTGAACTTTGTCTTCAGATTCTGCCTCCTATCTTTTCGTTTGTTCATCTTGGAGTCATGGAAGAGATTGGCCACACATTTTGTAAACAGTATCCATTTGGGTTTGCCTGCTGTTCCTTCACAATCATATTCAGG